CTCCCCGTCTTCCCTAGAACCCTGCAGATCTACACAGTGAATGAAGCCATGTGTACAAGCATAAAGAACCCACCCAATACACAGACACGTGTGGAGCACCAGCCATGTGGAAGGCATTGTCTCAGGTGGCAGAGAGAGCACAGCAGGCCAAGCTGATGGCTTGTAAAGTGCCACCCGAGTGCTGCTGGCGAGAGATACAGAGCAAAGCTTTCCAGGGAATTCTGTCATCTCAGCACTCAGGAAGCTGAGGCAGGAACACTGCCACAAGTTCCAGCCAGCTTGGGCTACACAGTGAGTTCCCGACCAGCCTCAACTACAATAAGACACTGCCACAAAGGAAAAAGTTCAGGGTTAAAGACAGGCCTCAGTGGTTAAGAGACCAAGGCGTTCTTGCAGAGGATGATGGGATCAGCAGATCCACACTGGGCAGCTCTCAACTGCCTGGACCTCAGGCCTCCATCCTCCTCAGTCACAGGCACTCGTACGCACAAATACACACACACACACACACACACACACACACACACACACAATTTAAAACATAATAAAAGGATTTTTAAATCCAAAAATAAAAAGTAAAATAAGAATCCCCAGGATGAAAGGGTAACTTTTCACAATATTCATAATTAAAAGCTGTAAAAGTGTTCAACTGTCTTAGGACCAAGCTAAAACTATAGTACATCCTTAATATGCATTGTCTTCAAGAATGCCACAGTTCTTATTCACACCAATAGTTTTAAAATGCCCAGAACATTAACTGAAATAGACAATTGCCATAACATAGCATGACGTATATATAATAGCTTTAAATATAAAAAACATCAATACAGCATATATATCATTCTACTCATCAAAACTGCTTTATTATCAATGACTAATTTCTATACAGTATCAGAGAATATCGTACACTACACTGAGTCTTAAATTTGAGACTCAACATTATACTAATTTTATGTGCCAACTTGACTTGGCTAAGGGAAGTGTAGACAGCCCGTGAAATACCTCCAGCAGGGTAAATTCAAGGCCAGCCTGGTCTACACAGACCAGCCAGGGTTACATAGTGAAACCCTGTCTCAAAAAAAAAAAATCAGAGGAGGGGCATGGAGTAATGGGGAAGATGTTTTTGTTTTATTTATTTGTTTACTTGCTTTTCCTAAAAGCCAGGAGTCACTGAGAGTCTGAGCAGAGGGGCTGGCTTGCATTTGTTTTCTGGGAGCAGAAAGAGCCCTAGATCTGCAATGGGAGTCCTGACCAGAGTGGGACTGGACAGACGCCCTCGTGCTCAGGACCATGCTACTGCAGGTCAGATACACCCTCCTGAAAGAGGCTGCATACATACTGTGAATGACATGGCACTACTTCAAGTCACCTAAGACTTTAAACTATTTAATCAGACATAGCCTAGAAAAATAACTGGGGCTGGAGAGATGGCTCAGCAGTTACCAGCACTGGCTGCTCTTCCAGAGGGACCAAGCTTTCATTCCCAGCTCCCATGGTGACTCACAACCAATTCGTAACTCCAGTTCCAGGATGTCTGGCACCCTCTTCTGGCCTCTGCAGGCACTACACACATGTACACAGACATACATGAAGGAGGCAAACATCCATCCACAAAAAAGGAAAAAAAGACAACCATCAAACAGAAAATGACCCAATTATTCCATGCCTTCCATACAAAACAGCTTAATAAGTTTCTGATGCAGAAGTAACCCATTCACCGACTTTACACCACAGTTGATAAACTCTCCTGCTAATCTGGTTTTACCCTGATAAGCATCAAAACATAATTCTTAAAAGGGAATCACCTTATCTTGCTACAAATATGTTCTTTAAATATATGCCAGTACAAGATACATTATAGAGAATGGCATTTAGTCTTTACTTCACTCTGAACAGTTTCATGAGGAAGGGGAAAATGAAATTTAAAGCAATGTAAGTAGCACAAACCAAATACTAGATAATATGTTTTGTACTAGTAACTTCAGAGGAAAAAATACTCAGGGTGAACTGAGGTGGTAACTGAAGCTCTGTGAAGGTCAGGTGTGAGCAATGGTTTCAGAAGCTGGACAGATGCCCAGCAAGCGGAGTGGAGAATAGATGGCCTTAAGAAGTCCTCTAAGGTCATTTAAGCCTCTGTTTAAAGGCCAGGTGCTGTGGCTTATGCCAGTAATCTATTTAAGAGGCTGAGGCAAGAGTGCAGGGGTGAATCTAAGCCACCTTGAGCTATGCAATGAGACCCTGACCAAAAATCAACAAATAAATCTCTGTTCAAAAGAATTGTCCCGACCAGAAAGTCCTTCCCTGATGCCCTCATCCAGCTGAAGGGAGAACTGCAAGAATGTTGAGGAACACAAGATAACCTGTGTCTTACACACATTCTCTTTCCCTTAGAAGGGCAGCCCCATGAAAGCAGGGACTAGACCTGTCTAGTGAGCTGAGTCATCCCCACGTCCTAACCCTTTAGAATCATAGGAGACATCAGTAAGCATCTGTTGAGCAACTGAACACCAACACATATAGGAGATATAGCAGAATTTAATCAGAAAGTATTTTAAAATTGGGAAAAAAGGGGAAACTAGAACAAATTAAAAAAAGAGAAGGACCAAGGAAGAAAATGTTGATGAAAAGTGAGCTTAAAAAACAAACAAAAAAACTAGATTGGACAGCAGCTACAAATAAAAGAGAAAGAATACGCATTCGAGAAGTCACTATATCTAATCTGGGGGTGGGGTGCAGCAGAGTGGCATGTACTTTAATCCTAGCACTCAGAAGGCGGAGGCAGGTGGATCTCTATGAGTTTGGCATCAGCCTGGTCTACATACCAAGTTCCAGGACAGGCAGTGCTACGCAGTGAAAGCCTGTGTCAAAACAAAGCAAACCTGAGAGGCAGCAAGCGGGCACAGCAGTGTCGAGCAGGTAGCTTGGCACTGGAGTGGGTCAACAGGGAAAGCTGGATACAGCCAGCGATGTAAGACTGAAGAGGGCCTAAGCAGAAGTCAGGTCTGTTCTCCTTTTCCAATGTGTGCGACATTTTTGTTACCTCATTCAGAGCAAGGAGCTTTTTAAAGAGTAACAAAGTTGTTCAAAGGAAAAAGTTGTATGATTTGGTACAATTTTAGTTTTTAATTTGGAAGGACATTCTGTCATGATAAACTCCACTCCCTTCTTTCTCCTGCTTTCACAGGCAATACACTGTGAAAGCCTTCTCACCGAGGATAATGAATCCTGACGTCTGGCCTTTCCCAGACATAATAGGAACTGTAGCAAGACTACATGTCACTCTTGATCACACATGGCACACAGGTCTGATGTGAACAATGTCCATTATTCTTGGTTCATTGGGAAGAAAAGCAACAGAAGAAACAGAGTATAAAAGGAAAAGCTAGAATGTTATCACCTCACAGAAAACGAAGACGCAAAAGACCTTTTATATTCTAGCCACTATTTGACAAGTGTCTAAACAGAAAAATGTACAACAAAGCCCAAGGCACACCAGCGCTCACCTAAGCAGTGCTTATAAAGGTTTCATCTGCACCCCTGAGACTTGAACTCTGTACGTAGTCATGGGTAACCTTGAGTCCTTCCCCCATATCCCAAGTGCTGAGATTACTGGAATGTAATACTCCACCTGGTTTATGCAGTGCTATGGACAGAGCGCAGGGCTTCATACATGCCAGGCAAGCACTCTGCAATAAGCCACACCCCACCCTGTGTAATTCTATTTTTAATTTTGTTCTTTTCACACCTCTGCTTTCACTGATAACTCATCACTGTCTTACCACCATGAACAGAGGTCATCAAATATACACTACAGTTATCTACCAGGGTCCAGGGTGCTTCAGTTCCCTCCAGCATTTCCACTTACTTCAATAGACAGATTTGCTATTTTATAAGCAATGAATGAATGTAGAATGTAGCATTTGCTAAGTACTCCACACATGACTGATGCTTTGCCCATTTTATTCAGTTACAATAAGCTTTCACAGAGTATTATTTTGCATGTAGTCAAGTCTGATCTACTTTTCCTGCTTTCATTAGAGGGGACAGTGACCTGGCTTCCAAATGGCCTCAAAGTTAAGCTGAATAAAAGCAGTGTGGTTATTTTTAGAGCTCTACAGGCATAAAAATACAGCATGGAACTGTGACCCACAGCTACGCACAGCAAAGCATCACACCATGCGACAATCTTTGCCTCAGCTAGTAGCATCTGTGGTGCCTCAGATGCCTGCTTTTCACTCCATTTCTAGAGACGCTGCAGCATGCATCTGGGACCAGCATCCATAGCTGCCAGCATCTTCTTCAAACAAAATAAGCTACATTCAAAAGGTAGACGATTAAATGTTTTGTGAAGATGAAAGGTTTACATATATGTATTTCTTTTAGCTTAGTTACAGCAAGGCAAGTTAATGAGCATTCTCTCCAAATGAAGACAACAGAACCTTATTGCTAACATAGAAAGTTGTTTGTTTCAAACACAGTTCCAGCGGGGAAGTGAGCAGACACATTCCTTCGCCGGACGACACCTCCAGGAGAATGAGACCCGCCTGAGCGAAACAGCCTCACCTCCAATTCAAGCAACCTCTCTGGCAACATTCTCACAAGAGCTGCGTGCGACTCGGCAGGTAAGCTTTATGCTTTCTGTACAAAGAGTGAGTCAAAGTGTTTTCAGACAGCATTTTCAACACATTAATATTTTAAAGACCCCTAAAAACTTCTATTAGCAAGTGTTATTTTCTGAAATTGTTCAGTTGGTATTATTTGATTTCATTTAATTTCTGCTTTATTTTATGTAAGTATTTTCAAAGCTTGGATTTTAGCACTGACCTAAATAGAAACTGAAAGACTTTAATCCATGTTCTAATCTTATTTTGACCTGCATGTCTAACCAGTGAAAAATTCATGTACTTTTCTGCTAATATTAAAGAAAAAACATTCACTAATAAAAAAAAACCATAAAAAAATTTATGCAAGTAAACATTTAATATCTCCACAGCCTAAAAATGCCACTTTTTAGCTGGGTGAAATGGCCGAAAAATGATTCCTACAAACAAACACACTATGCTGGATCAGACGTAGTGACAAAGACTCTGCTTCGGGAATTAAAATGGCATCTAAAGGAGCGTGAGAGGTTAACACAAGAGATCGAAAATGAACAAAAAGTGAAAAAAACAGGCGTGGATTACAACTGGCTGAGAAACTACCAGAATCCTGATCCGACCATCCCAGCTACCGAGCAAAGACAGCTGGAAGTTCTCTGCTCACAACTGCAGCCTTGTCAAACCGGAGCTGTCCTCAGCAGGTAAAGTTCTATGTTCTCCTCGGGTGTGAGTGTGTGTGTGTGCGCGCGCTTTAAACTAGAAAGTGCCCAACACATACATTCTTCAGTCACATTGCTGAATGCCCACCTGGTACCCACCTGTAAAATCCCTCTGGAGAGCTTACTGGTAGAAATCTAGTTTAATTACAATCAAAGTTTCTTCACTAGAAGCTCAATTATAATGCTTTTCTGTTACTCAAAAGGTAAGTACCTAGGACCCAATTACATAGGTAAGCTGCATTTGGGAGATGGAGTACAAAAAGAGAAATTTCTAAATATTCATCCCTGTATCCCCCTTAGATTTCGAGAACTTTTGGCAGAAAATGATGTACTTCCCTGGGAAATTGTCTACATCTTCAAGCAAGTTCTGAAAGACTTCCTCAGCAGTGCTGACAAAGAGGGTCATCGTGCTGGCCTGTGGGACTCTGCCACCTGTCCCCCTGCCCCTGCGCTCCCAGATGAAAGCTCTGAGAGGCCAGACAAAGATGAAATACCCACTATTTCAAGCTATGTAGACAGAAATGCCAAGAACAGGTTCCCACCATGCTCACACAGAGTATGGAACCTGCCGTACTATGACCCACCAAGGTAAGGCGTTGCCAGGACTACCTTACAGTCAGAACTCTTAGCACTAAGAGAGGAAACAGTGACGTGACCCCAAGTTTCTTTGCTTCAAGGTCAGAGGTTAAAATTCCTATGCTGCCAACCGGGTTTAAGCAGTATTTTTTCTAACCATTCTAAATACTCGATATTTTCATTGAAAAGTGTGCTTTTAACTAAAATGTTGCGTAAGCAATTGAAGTATTTTCTTATACATGTCACAGAACTAATGAAATTTAATAAGAAGTTTGACATATTCTTTGTGAAGCTTAATTAACCTTGACCTTTACTGAGAGCCCGTGTGCAGAATAAATGATTACTGTGAACGTCTCCTTACAATGCAACACCGAGATCTGCCAACATCCACTGCATGACATCACCCTTTGTGGACAGGGTCAGGGGTCAGGGGCACGGAAACGGCCTTCAGGTTAAAAGCACAGCAGTGCATCCCCTGACATCTCAAGAGAAGTTCGCTAGTCATGGGAGGAGTTTAATAATCATGCCCTTTGAGCTAGGCATGGAGGTCAGCCTGGAGGCAGGCAAGCTGACTCATGACAAAAGGGGGATGAAAATGCCCAGAGTACCAGAAAAGGCATACTTAGGCTCTGGGCAACATCCAACAAAAAGAAAAAAGAGAAAATGCCAAGCTCTTTCTGAGTTCTGACTCAGATCCAACAGAACCTCATAGCACCTCATGGGGACTGGTATAATCTGATTTCTAACCATGGTTAAACAAATACAGGTTTTTATACCTCAAGTTGTTTCCTTTGCTAAATTTAGCAAAGGCAATCTTTGCATTCATATGTGTTTTAAGTAGCTAACACCACTGGGGTGCTTTATTGAAAACAGTATGGACACAGCAGCTAAAATTTTTAGCCTGGAATAGAGAAAATAAGTTCGTCCACAGAAAAACAACTGTACAGCACTTCACACAGCACTCTCAAAGTTGCCATTACTAGCCAGACCAATTTGTTTAGCAGTGCTAAAGTAATCCTACAACCTGGGTACTATGTATAACCTCTCATTTAATCCAAACCTTGTATATCTGAGATGTTATTGTCACCTGATGAAGGAGCAAACAGCTCAGACAAATTCAGTGCCTTGCCAAGCACAAGGTAACTAGCAGAGCTGGAATCACATCCAGCCTGTCATACCCAGACCCCAAGCTATCTTCTGCAATCCAAATTCAAGTAACAGTTGACCATCTGACATGCCCTCCTGAACGCTTACAGGAAGCATAAAATCAACATGCTCAAAACCAAAGTCTCAGTAGGTTTGTTTGTTTCCTAAAAGAATAGAATTCAAGGGGTAGGGCAGCAAGAAAACAGCTCAGTTGGTAAAGTGCTTCCGTGCCAGCCTGTAGTCCTGACTTTGATGCCCAGAATCCACAAAAAAACTGCTCAGCACAGTAGCATAAGCTCTAAAAGCAAACACAAGGAGACAGAGGGGGTGGATCCCTGGGGTTTGCTGGCCAACCAGGCAGCCTACCCTACTCAGTAAGCTCCAGGCCAGTAAAAACAGGGCAGCTGAGATGGCTCAGCTGGTAAAGGCACTTGCCACCACACCTGACAATCGGCTCCGATCCCTGGAATCCGGAAAATATAATGACAGAGCTGACTCCTATGAGCTGTACTGATCTACACACATGTACCACAGCACACACACAAAACACATGGCACAATTCTTCAAGCTCTTCCTCAAATAGCATTGTCTGTGTCAGTAGGTGACAGGACTACCCGCCCATCCAGTTATACAAGCCAGGATCTCAATCATTCCGGTTCCCTGGGGATGGGGAGAGATGACAGACAGAAACACACACAAGTACAAAGATGACTGGTAATGCTGGTCTTTGGTTAACACAAATAACAAAAAAGGGAGTACCAGAAGTGTTTAAAAAAGGAAAAGTGTTGAAACTGAGAAATTAGGAAAGAAGGCAAAGGAAGAATTCTTTAGCTGTGGAGATCACAGGAAACTTCTCTGAGAAGCATAGAAACAGGCTCTGGTCACAGGAAAAAAACAAGAGGAGAGCAGAGAGAGAGCAGACCACACCACACAGAAGAGCAAATGCAGAAGCTGCAAGGTAAGAGTGGGACGGGGACCAACAGCACAAAACACAACAGTATGAGCAGACAGCTCCAGCAGATGATAGTAAACTGACCAGACAGCATCAGTAGATCACAGTAACCTGAGGCAAGTACTGCATGGAGTGACGCTCTGTAGGCCACAGTTAAAAGTTCAAATTATGTCCAACAGCAGCACACTCCAGAAAGGCACTGTGTATTCAGCCTTAGGTGTAAGTGTTGGTGTGAGAATTTGTTCATTCTATAAATAGTAACTAAGCATTGGCCTCATGCCAGACATTCTTCTAGGTGCTAGAACAGAAAATCATGAGAAGCCAGAACAAAGATGGAAGGTTCTTGCAGTCACGCAAACAAGAGCCCCGATTTCTTCCAGGATGGTAATGTGTGAACAACAAGCCACCCTCTTTCTTGGAAATGCATATGGTACAGTTGCCAGGATAATTCTCGCTTTTAACTCTCATTTGACTACACACTTACATATCCTCAAAAACATCCTAGGAGGAAATCAGCCATGGCCAGGAGAATAAGGTGTATCTTATGAGTCAGTCAAAGCAGGAGTGAATCAGAGAGCTGTCAGCCCCAAAGGCAAGAAACTCTGCTTCCAATCCTGGCACCTATTTCCCTCTTCCAAAGGAGCCATTCTTCATCATTTGTCAGAGGGACAAATGGCTATCTGTGGTGCCTATCAGCATACCAAAGTGCGTGCTAGCCTCCAGGCCTGCCAAGCACCTGCCACTCTTTCCAGCTCTGCTCACCCAACCTGCTATCCTAAACTTCTCCAGACTGTGGGCTTCCCATGCCCTAGCTTCCCATTTCCACGTAGCCCTGCCCGTTTGGGCCACTGGCTCTCTTGGCTCTCTCTCCTTTGACTTCCTCTCCTGGTCCTGCTCTCTTGCGCATCCCTCTCCTCGAATGCCCTGGTCCAATCCGCTGACCATGTTTAGTCCACCACCTTCTCCCCTGCTCTGAGCCCCGCCCCCCAGCCTCTGGCTGTATGCTCCCTCACACCTACAATAAAAGCCTTCCCTTCAACCACACCTGGGAGCAGCCATGCCCCACTTTATACAGGCACAACTCTTCTGCCTAGAAGAGAGAGCTGACTGAGTGTAGCCACTCGAGACCTGAGACCTAGTAGGCATTTCATTCGTCCAAATCCCTGCGTGTCTAGTGTATGTCAGAGGCTGCAGTCAATGCAGAACACAGTAATGATCTACCCTCAGGCTTAAAAGAAAAGCACACACACTCCCAGCCGTGAGGACTCGGGCCTGCAATCCCAGCACCTGGGAGGCTGGGAAGGAAGAGCGCATGTCTAAGGTCATCTTATAGTTAAAACAAGAATGTGTCTCAAAAAAAGTCCCAAATGCAGCTGCCATTCACACCTGCCCTCGACCGCCAGGCTAAGCAGGCCCTGTTGGCACAGTAGAGTGCTCAGAGGACCACCTGTAAGAATATACACTCATAAAAGCAAGCTCAGGAACTACAGTAGGCCTATGAAGAGACGGTGTGGGAGTCCAGTGGCCTTCTGCCAACAGCACACTGACAGCGTGGAGGATAACTTGCTTTATTCAAGTACACCAATTAAAAAGAAAGAAAGAAAAACGTCTGGGGCCAAAAAGAGGGCTCAGAGGGTAAAGACATTTACTTTCAACCCGACAAGCTGACTTCAATCCCAGAGCCCAGGCAGTACCAGGAGAGAACTCACTCCCTAGGTTAGCCTCTGGCCTCCACACGCATGCCGTGGTACACAAACCATGCAAAGACACGTGTGTATGCACATACCACACAGTAAATAAATGTAAAAAAGCCAATGTTAATTACACCAGCAAAATCCCTTTTTCCAAGACTAGACAGATGGCTCAGAGGCTCAGAGTACTGACTGCTCTTCCCCAGGTCCCAGGTTTGATTGCCAGCACCCACTTAGTTTCTAACCATTTATTGCTCGAGTTCCGTGGAAACCAGCACCCCATCCTGGCCTCCTCGCGCTGGGCACTCACATGGTACAAACACATACAGGCAGGCAAACACTCATGCTCATAAATTTTTCCATGTTTCGCTTATGTTCACAGGCTGCAGCACACACCTCTGGGGAGTCAGAGCCCATCAGGGCTACTCGCCACAGGAAGTTAGGCGTGTCACTTTGCCAACCAAACCTGCTTTTCCCTTTACCAAATCATCACAGAGGGTTAACTCAAAATCTCCATAACATTAAAGTGTTGACTGAAGGATTAAATAACGAAGCTGCGATTGGGCTGACTGCTGGCTACCTGCTGGGAACACTGCTCTCTAGATATGTCTGTTTAGAGGCCAGGAGGGCACTGCAGAGAGGTGCCATCTACACCAGCATTACTCAAAAAAATGTAGCTAGTAACTCATTAGGGAAGTTAAAATGATTATGGCAATCTGACCAGGTAATCTTATGCATGCCATATCTAATTTTTTAATGTACCTTAACTTTTGTCACTTCAATGCTCTGCAAATTCACGTTTGATTTAACAAGTCTTAGTGTCCATAAAGAATTGAAGAGTTTTAAGAATTGTTCCTTAGCAATTAAAATGACAACTGAATCTATGCTTTCAGTTTCTGACAGAGTCAATAAATATTTAGTGCCAGTATCAAAATAAATGTATTAAAACATTACATTTCCCCAGGGAGGCCTGAAGCACTCATAGAATCTTAAATTGAGGCTTTGGTACAAGGTCATTTACTAGAGTAATTCAAAGAAATGAAGTGAAAAAACTATAAACAAAGCCTGCACACACATACCATTTACCCACATGGACACACACACCTAACACTAAAATTGAGCGAGGAGCCAGCATTCAAACTCCTTGCCATGCATCTGCTAAAATGCACAAGTGTGCTAAAACTTAGGTCTCCACAGACGTCCCCAGCAGCTTTATTCCTAACTGCCAGAACTTGGGAAAAACCGAGATGTCTGTCAGTAGGTAAATGATACATTCAGCCAGTGGACTCTCAAGCTCTGCTAAAAACACCATAAGGGTACACAACTTCAACTACATATTACTAAGTGGAAGCAGCCAGTCTCCGGGGGCCACAGATTGTGTGGATTCAACCGCTCGGCGTTCTGGAGAAGGCAAAACATGGAAACAAACAAACAAAAAGGACCCAAAAGTTGAGGAGCAGTAAAAACGGGCAGGGCGTGCTGACTTTTGCTGCCGATGACGCCAGGGTGGAAATGGATGTGCTCGGTGTGAGAAACCACACTGCGTGTGCGGTAACAGCAGTGGGAAGTGCAAAGGGAGAGGACGTTTTGTTAATTCTGCACAAAGTCCCGCAAACCGACAATTAACGTCAACAGTCAGAGTGTGGGGAGTCTAGAGAAATGGGTCAGGGATTAAGAGTGTATAGCGGTGTTGCGGAGGACCCGAGTTCCATTCCCAGCACCCAGGTCAGGTGGCTCACAGTGGCCTAGAGGGTTTCACTCAATATGAACCTTTAGGAAGGAGGGCAGGCAGCGCCTGGGTCAACGAGATGCCTCTAGTGAGTAAAGGCACTTACCAGCAATCCTGACGACCTGAGTTCAATCCCAGGAGCCGACATGGTGGAAAAACCTACTAACAAGGTCTCCTGGTACAAATATATACATACACACATACACACACACATACTGAATCCTTGCAATGAATTTTTTAAAGCAGTCTATGAACCTGGGGCTGGAGACACCTATAATCGATTTGGTGAGACGGAGGCCTGAGGATAAGGAATTCAAGCTTATCTATGGAGACATAATCAAGTGAAGGCAGGCTGGGCTACCGAAGACCCTGTTTCAAAATAAACAAAATCAGGCTGGGAATTAAACACACCACCTAATTCCCGGGGTGCTCAGCTTCTTGCAGGTTTACTGGGGGCTTGGGCTAGATGGTGCTCTCCACCTGCTTGCTGGCCCTCCTGGCCCCCAGCCCCAGGCTCCCTACCTCCCGAAGGCTGAAGCTGGCCGGGCCGGTGCTGTGGCCATGCCTGGACCTGGAACCTGGGCCTGAGCCGCAGGGGCCTCGCTGGGGACCTCATCGGGGCGCTGCACCTCCTCCCGGGCCGCCTCGGCAGGAAAGGCGGGCGGCAAGCCCAGCAGCTCCACATTGGTCACAGTCTTGCCTATGGTGAACCAGTCGTTTATCTGGTCGACTGTGAGCTTGCGCAACATCCTGGGTGCCCAGGAGCTGCCTCAACCGCCCGACTCCAATGGTGGCAGAGTAAAGCGCCCTCCCCAGCGCCGCAACGACCGTTCCAGAAGCCCCCCACCCCTGCACCCTCGCTGAGGCCATCCAATCAGAATGTGCCACGCAACAGGGTGGGGCTGGGCCCTGTGTGCACGTGGGGGCCCGAGCCTCGTGCCCACAGAGATCTGTGGGCAACCACTGCCTCCCCGCAAGGCCTGCTGGGACAGCTGGAGTCAGGGGACCTGCAGAGGCCAGTGATTATGATTTGATGTTGGAGTCGGCTTAGGTCAGGTGGATACTGATGGTATTTACTGCACTCACTTGATAGTCCATGTGGGCCTGGGAGGCCCACCCTTTTCTGAAGGGAAATGGAGGAGGAGGAGACACGGGACTGGGGTGAGAGGAAGGAGGGGAAACTACAGTCGGGATGTAATATATTCGAGAAGAATGAATAAACAATTAAATATTTGTTTGTTTGTTTGTTTGTTTGTTTGCTGCACTCCCGCTGCGGGCCTTACCGCAAGGACTTCCCACAGGACTAACCTCAGCTGGAGCTGGGCCACAAGCCGCAGAGATTATAGCTTTGTGCTACAGGGACAGCTGAGCAGTCGCTGAACCAAGGTCGCATTGCCCCTGAGTGGGCTAGTTCTTGGTGTTCTCACGTGACCCAAAGATCAAAGCTGAAGGGGACCACTTGAATCAGGCAATTTTTAAAAGGCTTGTAGGCCCTACGTCAGATCTCATGCGAAGACTCCTGGGTAGCTCCTGAGCCGTGGCCCTTGGAGCAGATTTGACTTTTTCACGGAGCAGTTTGAGGTTCTGGGATGCGAACAGCTGACATCATTTAGCAATGAGGGATCTATTAAACAGCATTCTTCATCAAGCAGGGGAAACTGCTTAAATTTCACCCACCTTTTAGCCTCAACATGCAGCATTGGGCACTTTGAATGAATCTCATGGAACAGCCCATGAACATTTTGAAACTTTCAAAGATGTGTTATGGGTTTGGTTTTGTTTTGTTTTGTTTACTTGAAATTACATTTAAAGCTTATTGACCTGGTTAGAAATTTGTCTTCAAATAATTTACTATGATGCTCTTCCTGGTGGCTCACGGCTGTAATACTAGCAACTTGGGAGGCTGAGACAGAAGAATTGCTGGGCGTTTGCAGCCTGAGCAACACAGTAAGAAATTATCTCAAAAAAATCAACTAAAATAAAATACTCTTTTTTAAATCTTAAATCTGATTCAGCTCTCAGGACCCTCTTTGCAATCCTACCAGTGACTGGAGACCCTAAAGAGCTTTTGCTCATGGTTCCCGTCTATCCACAGTGGATTACATTCAAGAAAGGTTTTGTGTATTTGAGTGATTTTGCGATGTCAGTTTGGCACAGTCTAGAGTTATGTGAGGGAGTCTTAATTGAGGGACTGCCCAGATCAGACTGGCTTGTGGCCATGTTTGTCAGAGATTGTCTTGATGATGGTGAGATCCCAGCCCACTGTGGGTGGCTCCATTCCTAGGCAGGTGAAGCTGAGCATAAGCCAGTAAGCAGTCTCTCCCCCCACCCCATTCCTGCCTCTGTTCCTGCCTGAAGTCCCTGCCTTAACTTCCCTCAGTGAAAGATTGTGACTTTTAAGTGTAAGCTGAAAGAAAACCTTCCCACACACACACAAGTTGCTTTAATCCAAATGTTTTATTGCAGGGACAGTGATCAGAGTAAGACAGTATTTATTAATTTAAAATAGCACTTTTTAAAAACTCATTTGATGTCAAGAGATATTATTTATGAAAATCACTATATTTTCCCAAAAGCTCATGTGTACAAGTAACACTTTTTAAAGTTTTATACTTTTATTTACGTGTATGTGCATGTGTATGCTATGTGTGAGTGCAGCGTCCATCGGGGCCAGAAGAGGGCAACAGACCCTCCTGGAACTGGGGATACAGGCGGCTTCGAGCTGCCCAGCATGGGGGCTGGGAACCATACTCTGGTATTCTTCAAGAGCAGCCACTGCTCTTACCTGCCGAGTCATCTCTCCAGCCCCAGAGTGACACGTAGAAATGTTCGCCAGTCTCTTAGTGTCTAGCTGAATGGCAGACTGCAGTTTTTCTGTCTCTGTGTTGATACTATATGGTGTCACAAGTCTCTCAGCCTCTGGAAAATTCCATGGTGCACATGAGAGAATTCTAGCAAGAAAAGGCAAATCTTTCTATTGTGATGAAAAGACTTCTGGTCCTCCTAGGCCTTATGAGCCAGGGGGATTGACTCCCTCACATAACAGACTTTCCAAGTGTTGCATGCAGCTCATTTGATTGAAAGCCCCACTTCCTTTCCAGGCAGGGCTATGGTCGTTGCTCTTCATTCTTTCCTGAATCCCTTCCCTTCCATCTGAACTCACGTTTCTCTCCCCTCAATGACTTTACTGCAGACCTGTTAGTAATTATGCCTTGTTTTTCAACTTGTTCAAAACTGTATTTCGCCTTTATTAAATGCTAATTTTCCTGTAAATAGAATCCTCGATGGGCAGTTATTTTACAGCATTCTTAGGTATTAGGATCTTTTCCTTTGGTAATGCTAGGAATAGAAGCAAGGGTCCTCGCACATAGGAAGCGAACACCCTTTCACTGAGCTACAACCTTAGCCCTGGTCTTTAGTTTTATTATGTGGCTTCCAGATGTTTTATTTCTCTCTCTGCTTGGTTTCAGTAAGACTTTTTGAGCCTTTGATTTTCTTTTTAATCCCTTCGGAAAATTCTTAGCCAGCTCTTAGCAATTCAAATATTTCTCCCCAGCTCCCTGTTGATTTCTTTCTAAGACCCAATTAGCTGTGTGGCCGAGGGTAAAGCTCAGTTGTAGAGCTTTACCTTTACCCTTGTTCGAGGCCCCAGGCTCATCTCCAGCACCGTGAGAGAGAGAAGCTCTATATGGTAGCTTGCCCCTGTAATTCTAGCACTTGCGAGACTGAGGCAGGGGAATTGTCAGGAGTTTGAGGCCATACATATACACAGGCAAAACTTATACATAAAATAATAGCAATTTTAAATTAAAACAAAGGAGGGCTAGCTAGATGGTTCAATGGGTAAAGGTGCCTGACAATTTGAGTTTGATGCCTGGGACCTCCACATGGCACTTGTGATATTTTCCCCACTCACATCCACATAATAATTTTTGTTTGTTTCGACAGGGTTTCTCTGTGTAGCGTTGGCTGTCTTGGACTTGCTTTATAGACCAGGCTGGCCTCGGTAACAAATATTTTTAAAGGGAAAAATAGAAAATGAAGGAGTGTATCTGGACTTTGCTATTTTGTGGGTTATTTTTTCTTCCATTATTTCAGCCCTTTAACACTAGATACAGGAGAAAAAAAGATAGAGAGGAAAGGTGACATTATCATTAGACACTTTCCTGTTGACTAGGGACACGTCTGAGCTCCACATCAGGATATCTAATTTCTTCTTGTCTCTTCTCTGCATACCACTGCCTAACTACAACCAACAGCCACCCACCTAGTGACGCGCTAGATTTATATACCATCTGAAAAGTCCCCAGAATTCCAAAGTGCAGCTGGCAAATACACCTCTGCTAGAGCACAAGGCAAATCATAGTCAGCTGCTGCAGAGCAGCCCAGAGCCCCACACCTGCCACTAAAACGAAAACATATTCTTATAATTCTGTTTTTTAAAAGAAACCAAATTCCAGAATTCTCACTGCCAGGGAGGGAAACAACACCAGCTGCACTGAGCTGAATGGGATGGGCTTTCTTTCCGTGTGATGCTTTGTCTTCTCTTATTGGGCTGTATTTTTTATTAGTTTCACCTGTCTTCTGCCTTTGGTCATTTCTAAACACAGTTTCTTTTAATCCAATAGGTCGATTTGTTTTTCCAGTTTCTGCTGAGATTTGAGTATTCCCTTAAACAGAAGTATGGTGCTAAAGAGATGCCCCAGTGATTCAGGGCACTTGCTGCTCTTCCAAAAGACCCAAGCACCAACATGGTAGAACACAACTATCCATAATCCCAGTTGCAGGATATCCAATGTCCTCTTCTGACATTTGTGGGCAAACAGGCACACACTTGGTGCACAGACATAGTTGTAAGCAAAACACTTGTGTCGTGACAATTTTGAAATTTTGGTTTCCTCAAAAACACAGAACTATTGTAAGAATGTGTTTTTGCTTTAATCCATGGTGGAAGGATGTGGGGATGTTTCAGATTGTCCATGGCAGTTGACTGTGATTTGCCTCATGCTCTGGCAGCAGCGTGATTTTGTCAGCTGCAGATAGTTTCTGTGATTTGTATAATGTTTGGGATTCTGGGGACAGAGGGTACATGAATGTGAGGGCCCTGAGAAGTGGGGTCAGTGGTTGTTGGTCATTGAGAGAGGTTGGTTGGTTGCAGTTTGTCAATCGCCATGGTCAAGGAAGAAACGAAAGGAAAGAAATTAGATTTAGGAATTTTCCTAATTTCTCTCTCCTCTCTATCCTTGTTTCTTCCCTATCTAGTGTTAAGGAATGAAACTAAGAGCGGGAAAAAGAGGAGCCCACAATGTAGATAAGACCAGGTACACACTCATACACATAAAAATAAATCTTTCTTAAAAACTAAAAGCAAGAACAACTTTTGTTCATTTGCTTCGTTTTTGTTTTTAGAAACAGGGTCTCATGTAGCCCAGGATGGTCTTAAAACCCTGATCATCTGCCTCCACTTTCCAAGTGCTGGGATTGTATGTGTACCACATACAGCTTGTATACTTCTTAAAAAACAAAAACAAACACTATTAGGTTGAGTCCCTGGAATTTCTGCAGTCTTTACCTCATTCTACAAAATCTTTTAAGGATGATCAGTATGCACAGAATGGCTGCTTAATCAAATATGTAGAGCAAAACGTAGCATTATTAGAGGAAATAGCAAGAAGTGTCAAAAGCCTGACATAGTGCAGGCCTTTAATCCCAGTGTTCAGGAGCCAGAGGCAGGCAAACTTCTGAGTTCAAGGCCAGCCTGGTCTACATAACAAGTTCCAGGCTACACAGAAAAACCCTGTCTCAAAAAACAACCAAGTAAAGAAGGTTTCCTTTTTCTATGTTTCCTTTGGTGTTTTGTTTGTTTGGGTTGGGGGAGTGTGATAGTCTAAGTAGCCCCACCCTTTTTCAAACTCAAGAGATCCATACCACCACATCCTACACCCCAACACCTCTGGGTGTGCCTCTGCCCCCCAAGTGCCGGGGAATTAAAGACCTGAGCTACTGGGTTAGGCCTTTGCTTTAGTATTTTTTTTTTTTTTTTTTTTTTTTTTCTGAGACAGGTTCTCACTGTGTAGCCCTGGCTGTCCTGGAACTCACCCTAGATTAAATTAGCCTCAAACTCACAAGAGACCCTCCTGCCTCTGCCTCTTGAGTGCTGGGATTAAGGGCATGCGCCACCATGCCTGGCTTTTGATTTAGGTTTTGGGACAAAGTCTCACACTGTAGTCCAAGTCAGCCTGAAAGTCAAATGAAAGTCAAATCTATGGCTCGCCGCTGCTTCTGCCTCATGAGTGCTGGGATTAAAGGCATAACCCCTTCAAAAAAAGGCTTTTTGTTTGTTTTCTTTATGGTCAATTTGTCTGGATTATCTACCTCCCTGGTGTCAGCACTGAAAGTCTCGTATCCCCAGAAACCCACCAACCCTGAGAAAGCTGGACAGTCAGCTTTATGACACCCGGCGACACGGTAGACTCCGCCCAGCAATTTCCAGTTTTGACCAACCTCCACCCAAGCTTGCGGCACCCGCGCGACCACCGGGGGCGCTGTGGTGCGCAGGCGCGAAAAACCAGGCAGCCAGCTTCTGCTCCCTCCGCTCCTTCCGCTTTCCCAGCAGGCCCCGCACGGCGCATGCGTGCTTTGTGACCTTTCACTGTTGTGGAATCTGGTGTGGCCTGTGGCCTTGATCCTGCTGAGGTAAGAGCGGGACGTGGGCGTTTTGCTGTGTTCCCAACAGCTTGCACTTAAGACGGGCCAGGACGGGTGCGGTGGGACCACGGTAGGTCGGGAACGCAGGCGAGGGACTCTGGGATCCACGCTGACCTTGGGTTAGCCCCTGCGCCGTGGACTGCACGGAGGTCTCCCGGGGTTCTCCCGACTGCCTCAGGGAAAAGTAAGTGCCCGGCTCAGTCCTCCAGACCGCCAGGAGGGCGTCCCGGGCTCAGCCACGCAGACTGCGGGAGTGCACGGCGGTCAAGTCCTCCAGACTGCAAGGGTTTTTCTGGAGTTAGTCTCCCTGGTTGTGTGGGGGCAGGGGTTGAGGGTCTGCAAGGGTGTGCTCTTGAGATCCATTCTTTATACTGATAGAGAGATTACTCCCCAAGACTTCGAGGGAGGACGCCTAGTATCCTAGAAGGGGCTGTCCAGGGACCAGGTGCTAGTGGAGGCCAACGTCAGCCAGCATTATGCCCGGGCATTGACACATGGGTGGACCCATGTAACTAGGCTTTGGCAAAGGAGCATGCCATCGTTAACTGTGAGTATCCTGTTACCTACCCAGGTTACTCGGCTAGTTAGTGATACAGCCAGAATCCAAGCCAGGAAGCGTCACTTCTTCCCTTTAGGCCACAGGTTTCTTTCAAGTTAGGCTTTGGCACGGGGGTGTTGGAAATTGTATGAAACCGCATTATAAACCTAAGACTGTAACATGTCCTCTCTTTCCAATGTACTGCCTGGTGATAGCCTATATATATATATATATATATATATATATATATATATATATATATTATTGGTGTAGTTTTCAAAAGCTTTGCAGGCGTAACCAGTCTCAATAAACAGCCATTTGACCTTCCAGTAGGATGGGCTGTTAGAGAATCTGGGGTTCTAAAACTAACGGCTGGGAAATAAGGTTGGTCAGAGAGACTTCCATGGGAAGAGTAGAGGACTCACTGAATACTGGATACAGATCACTTGTCTAGCCAAAAATACAGCAACACTGGCCAAATGGGCAGTCTGGGGGCCAGAGATGAAAAGGGGAAATGCCTCCACTCTGCCAGGGACCCATGGTAATTTAGAATAAGGAGACTGCCAGGGTCCCTAGATCCTGAACAGATACCAAGGTAAGTCTCTCCACATCCTTTACTCTTTCCCTCTAGACCGTCATGTGATACCACATCTCCACACACACACACACACACACACACTGGGGGAAGAGGGGAGGGGTTGGAAGAGGTTGAGACAGGGTTCTCTGTAATGCTCTGGCTGTCTTGGAACTTGTAGATAGCCAGGCTGGCCTCAGTTTAAGAAAGATCTGCCTGCCTCTGCTTTCCAAGCTCTAGGTTTAAAGGTGTGAGCCACCATTGTACTGACCTTGATACCACCTCTTAACCCAGCCTGTGAGACAAAATCTCTTAAGTCCTTTCCTAGAATTTCTATGCCCTAGGAATTGTTGCTTTCTGTTGAGTTTTTACAACAATTCCTTGTTATTGATTTGATCATTTACTGAGTGCTTATTCTGTACCAGGGACCATACTGGATCCTTTGTTGTTGTTGTTGTTTGGGGGGGGGGTTAAGACAGGTTCTCCCTGTGTAACCCTGGCTGTCTTGGAACTCATTCTGTAGACCAAGCTGGCCTTGACCTCAAAAGATCTGCCTGCCTCCTGAGTGCTGGGACTAAAGGCATACGCCACCACTGCCTTGCTAGGTCTTTCTGTATTTCCAGAGTCCTGTGGGGCAAGTAGGAAGTTGAGAACAGAGCTGGGAGCCTCAGGTCTTCTACAATACTTTCTTGGCCCTTGTCTGTCCCACAAAAATGCCCCTCTATTCACTCAGTGACTTGGGATTCTTCAGGCCCAGCTCCTCAGAGGCCACCTCCAAATGCTATCCCATGCAGGACAGTCCTGTCAGAGGCCACCTCCAAATGCTATCCCATGCAAGACAGTCCTGTGAGAGCATTTGGATATACATATTAGAAGGAAATTTAAGGACAGATATACCATCTGGGCGAAGATAATAGCCATACCCTACTAGCTAACTCTCTGAACTAGCTAACCTTCAGAGCCTTGGCTTAAATTCATTCCTATAGGAAAGATCAGGAAGCAAGCCACAGAGGCAGTTTCCTGTAGTGATCAGGGATATGGACCAGATTCGGTATAATCTAGAATATGCACACTGTGTGTGACTGGTGCCCTTGAAGGTCAAAGACTCCCTGCAACTGGAGTTACATTACAGATGGTTCTGGGACAGGAACCTGTTGAGCCATTTCCACCCCAGCGGACATCCTAAATGGTGTGCCCATCTTCCCTGCTTCCCTAGTTGAACAATAACATACACAAGCAGCACTTGTGACGGGATGCTAGGCACGGCACTCATTTAACATATACTAACGGTCATAGCAGCCCCTTGAGGTGGAGCTGCTGTTAGCCGTTATATGAGTTATATGCTTTTAGCCGCTGTCTAAATTAGTGGGTGAAAACAGGGCAGCTACCCTTCTCCCCATCCATCTTCAAGTTCATTATCTGTGCTTCTGCTGAAGATACTTCTCCAGGCAGCCTGCCACTTCCTTCCACTCACACATGTGCCCTTCATTTTTGCTGAGTGAATATGACCCAGGTGTCAGTAGTTCAAGGACAGCCACTAGCCTTTGACTGCAGTGAGCTTTTCACAGATGTAGTACTATAAAATGACATACTGTTGTGGAACACTGCAAAGTAGAATTCTGTGTGCAGTAGTGGTATAGAGCAGGGCCCTTCAAGGAAAGAACATACTGACTGCGGCCCAGCTGTTTCCAAGTCAAGTGAGAAGGGCAACCTGAGGACTGAGCAACTAGAGATTAAAGTATTAATTTAACAGGCCTGTTACTCATGTTTGTGCTTGTTTTAGGGGGGTTTTGTTTGGTTTGTTTGTGGGTTTGGTTTTGTTCCCAAGACAGGGTTTCTCTGTGTAACCTTGGCTGTCTGGACTCACTTTGTAGACCAGGCTGGCCTCAAACTCGAAGAGATCCACCTGTCTCTGCCTCCCAGAGTGCTGGGATTACAGGTGTGTGCCACCATGCTCCGATTGTTTTTCAACCTGAAATGCTAATGATGCTAAAAGGAATGTTTTCACCCAAAGGTCAAAAAAGAGTGATGTGTGACTTGGGGCCACGCCACTTTGGTGGCAGATAGGCTTGTAGGGCAGCCTGCAGCAAGATGGGTAGGGGTTTCAGGAGTATAGAGAGCACCACAGAGCCTGTGGGGAATAGAATATCATACTTGTTGGGTAGAAGTGATGAAAATACCTGGTCACTTGGTTATATATAGCAGCAGTTATCTTAATGTTTATCACTTCTTTTTCAGATGCTTCAAAGCCTTATTAAGAATGTCTGGATCCCCATGAAACCCTACTATACCCAGGTTTACCAGGAAATTTGGATAGGAATGGGGTTAACGACTTTCCTCTTTTATAAAATCAGGAAAGCTGGTAGGTTTATGCTGTTATTTCTTTTAATTGGCAGGAGGAAATGTCTTCAGAAAAAAAAAAGAATCACAATATCTATTAAGGAACTGTGACTCTGTAAAATATTATTTTCCTGTGTATATAAATGTGTGTGTGTGTGTGTGTGTGTACACACACATGCCTTAGCACCTGTACAGAAGTGTGCAATTGGTTCTCTCCTTCTTGTATGTGAGTCCCAGGGATTGAACTCGGGTCACAGGCTTGTACAGCAAGCCCCTTTACTTGCTGAGCCATCTGGCTGGCCCAGAACCATGACCTTAGATGTCCATCGACAAATGAAAGGATAAAGAGAATATGGAATAAAGTAGCTGAAATAGCCCTTGTTGGAAGAGTTTAGACTGAAAAAATTGTAACAGATACACACAGTAGAATTTTGTTTATACATACATACATACATGTGTGTGTATATATATATATATACACATATATATATATACTTAAAACTTATTTTTAAATAAAATAAATAAATGAGTAAAAGTACACACACACACACACACACATACACACTTTGCAGGAAAATGAAGTAAAGATTGCCCTGCTTAATGAGATTAGCCCGACTGAGATAAATATTACAGGTTTTCCTCATGCCCAGTCTACTTACCAACACGTAAACAGCACTGACATGAAAGTAGAGAGAGGCTGTTGCAGGCAGATCTTTAGATGGGAAAGAGACAGATGGGAAAGGGAGATGAAAACAAGGAAGGAAAATGAGGAAGAGAGTGTGAGCAGGGCATGCCCGAGGGTGTTCGTACATATTCTAGTGAGACCTACTTCTTATGCTAATTTTGGAAAAAGAACTGGCTGTCACATAGCCATAACTCTTGAAAGCATGCTGGAATGCTTTACCCAGCCTGTGAAGCTCTGCAGTCACGTGTTGATTTTGATTGTTAATTGACTGTATCTGTAAGGCACTGGTGTAACTGATTTTTCCTTTGTTTTAGATAAAAGAAGTAAAGCTTTGAAAGGTAAGATTTCTGCCTTTTGGAATTGGTGGGGTGTATGTGAAAAGATCATCATAGTTTTTCCAATCAAGTTATAAGATTCCTGAGTTGAAACTGATACCTGGTTCAGTGATTCAACAGATACAGTGGAATGGAAGTACTAAAGATCAGGAATTTTGCAGTTAAATGTTAAGCAAAACAGGGTGCACTCTTTTGGATAAATGACAATGACAGAGGAAACAAGTAGCTTTTTTTATCACCACTAGGAAAGCATCTGCTAAGTTTGTGCCCTAGCGCTGAGTGTCTTGATTCTGTTTCTGTGGTGGCAGTGATGCTATGGTCATTCTTGACTTACCCAAGCCCAGACCTGGCACCTGAGCTTTGGGCAGGAGACCTTTGTCTTCCCCTGCCTGTGAACAGCTGCATCAGCATCACTTGCGCAAACCTGGATCCCTGCCAGGGGTCACACAGAAGTGTTCCTCACCCCATCCTGGGTGGGTGGGTGGGTGGGTTGGGACAGGAGCTGATTTTGGTTTTGAGGCAGGGTTTCTCTGTATAGTCTTAGCTGACCTGGACTCACTGTGTTAATCTCGGGTGGACCAAGAGCTCAGAGATCCTCGTGCCTCTGCCTCCCAAGTGTTGGAGTAAAGGCGTGCACACGGTGCCCAGCCCCCATTCTGTTTTGTAGCATTGAAAATGAACGTTTGCGTTTTCTGACTCGTTACTTTAATCAGTAAACTACTTTCTGCTCTTGCTTCCTAAATTGTATCATTTTGTTCCTCTCCTTGAAAAGGCTCCAGTTCTGCATCTGCCCATGGCCATCATTAACTGCTCCCTGAGTGGACTCAAGATGAATCGTGTAGACTAAGCTTAAGCAAGCTCTGTTATATGGAAACACGGAACATCGCTGTACGCTTGTCTAAGTACCACTTACAATGTGGCATTAATAAATGTTTGTGAGAAGCACCGCTCCCTGTGGGTACTACTGTCCACCTCCCCTGCATAGGTCCTTCGTGATGCTGTGGCTCCATGAGAGCCCCTGAGCCACCCTCTGAAGGAGGCCTGAGGAGTGAGAGGCAGGGTGTGCTGCCGGAAGGTTGCTCGCTAGGATTGAGGTATTAACTTTGATTCCAGTAGTCAGTAACATCTGTTAAATGGTTTTGCTTCTTTGGGAAAGATGTTAATTATTTTAAAGGCCAACTTAAATTTTTTACTAGAGTCAATAAGATCAGGGAAGAACACACACCAGTAATCCCACTGAATCAGGGAGGATCACAAATTCGTGAGTTCAAGGCCAGCTTTGGTTACTGAAAACCCTGTCTGGCGAAAAAAATATTTAAAAAATATGAGTAAGTAGAAAAGAGTTGGAAGGATGGTTTTGAAGAGCACTTTCTGCTCTTGCAGAGCACCCAAGTCTGGTTCTTAGCACCTACTTCAGGCAGCTTACAAATACCGGCTTACAAACACCCTCTTAGGGCGCCCATGTATATATAACAGCCATTACCCATTATATATGCCCATTTTTTTAAATTGGAAAGAAGGCTGGAGCCACGGCTCAGCAGGTAAGGGCGCTGGCCCCAGCCTGATAACCTTGTTTGGCCGCAGGACCTCTGTAGTAGAAGAGGAAGCCCACTCTTGGGCCTCTGTAGTGGAAGAGGGAGAGCTCTTGGGAGCTGTCCCGCCTCCAGTTGTGCATGGGAAGATGGTCTTAGAGCGAATGTAGACATAGGCTCTGGGCAGAAGTCTGTCTGAGTGCCCAGTCACACAGCAAAGCAAGCAGTGTGAAAAGGCCAGCAGAAAGCTGTTGATGCACACCTCTAGCCCTAGTGACAGGAGGTGAGGCAGGAGGGTCACAAGTTCTAAACCAGCCTGGCCTACAGTGTGCGCCCTTGGGAGATTGAGGCAAGAGATAAAGAGTTCTAAGTCTTCGTTACATAATGAATTTGAGGCTAACCTGGACTACTGCACACGCATATAAAGAGACAGAGCACACACACAGAGGAAGGTGGTGCACACCTCTAATTCCGTAGCTCCTGTCTTAGAGTTAGTTACTCTTGCTGTGATGAAACACCATAACCAACTTGGGAAGGAGTGGGTTTATTTTGGCTTACATATTCTGAACACAGTCCTTTGAGGGATGCCAAAGCAGGAACCCGGAGGCAGGACCTGATGAGGCCGTGGATGAGTGCTGCATACTGGCTTGCTCCCCGTGGCTGACTAAGCCTGCTTAGATTGTTTGTCTTAATGATTTATTTGAAGTGCAATGGTGTTTACATGTATGTCTATGCAAGGATGCCCAAAACCCTGGAACTGAAGTTGTAGATGGCTGTGAGCCACCATGTGGGTGCTAGGAATTGAACCTGGGTCCTTTGGAAGAGCAGCTAGTGCTCTTAACCGCTAAGCCAACTTTCTAGCCTCAAGCCTGTTTTCTTTCTTCCTTTGTTTTTTTGTTTTGTTTTGTTTTACTTGCTTGTTTGCTTTTTGTTTTTACAAGACAGGGTTTCTCTGTGTAACCTTGGCTGTCTTGGACCGTCTTGTTGACCAGGCTGGTCTCTAACTCACAGAAATTAGCCTGACTCTGCCTCCCTGAGTGCTGGGATTACAGGTGTATGCCACCACACCCTGCTTTCTTAAAGCACTCAGGACCACCAGCTGAGGGGTGGTACCAATGAGCTGGACCCTCCCACATCAATCACTAAGAAAATGCCCTGCAGTCTGCCTGCAGCCCCAACTTATTAGAGGCATTTTCCATTAAAGTTCACTCCTCTCAGATGACAGTAGCTTCTGTCCAATTGACATAAACTGTCCAGCACAGCTGTGGAGGCAGTAAGCTCTACATAACTGAAGCCAGCCAGAGTTTTATGGTGAGACCCTGACACAAAATGGGGAAAAAAATTGTTAGTCTACACCAGCTTTTCTCAGCCTACACTGGAATCGGCTAAAGGCCATTGGCATGGACTTGGAGCTCTGTGTCTCTCATTCCATTGGTCTGGGGAAGAGCTCAACAAGTTAATATTTCTGAGTCCCCAGATACACTTAATGCCCAACGCCAGGTCTTAGGAATGGCCAGTCACCCTAAGAATAAGCTTGAAGCCCTTCCTTAAAACCACCAGCCACTCAACAGTTGCTGTTCGTGGACAGCGGCCATGTGCCATGGGGCTTAGTGCAGTTTGGCCTCTCAAGTGCCAGGCCAGGAGGGCTTCAGGAGGCTGAGCTCATCAGAGAGGAAGCTGTTGCACCTGCTCAGAATTGCTCAAAGGGTGGGCAGTTGCTTTTCCCACCTTACTACTAAGTGTTCCTTCAGTTAGAGAAAAGAAAGCAAGTCGGTTCTCCACACGGCTCTGCCCCGCTGTGAGCAGTGCCCTGTCTGCAGCATTGATAGAATCAGGTATGCTGAGCCAGATGTGATGACACTCTCGGCCTGTAATCTCAGCACTCCTGAGCAGAGGCTGGAAGCCAGCCTTGTTTATACAGTAAGAGCATGGTTTTTAAAACTTTAAATGTGTCTGCCCAGACCCCGCTTGCTGCTTATAAAATGGGGAGAATGCATTCTGAATCACCCAGGGTTTTGGAAACGGCAAGTCTCGTACTGAAAGTGGCCTGTAGGTGGAGCCAGAATGTGGCCAAACAGTGCTCACCAGAGTGGCCTTGTGGACCAAACCATAAGTGACAGCTGTGCCCTGGCGCTGGGACACAGTAAGAGCATCACGATTTTGCTGTTTTTTGAGGTGTCTGTGTGTAAACCGGGGTGGTCTGCCACTTGCCATGTCTCCCTCCTAGGCTGCCTTCAAGTGCAATGACAGTCCTGCCTTAGCTTCCTGAGACACTTGGACATCTTCCTTATGTCTGACCTAACATCAGGCAAGGCATCTGGAGTGGGAATTCTGAGGAATTTTATATGGTTGATCTGGGTGTTAAGTTGCTTTGGAGTTTTTTGAGACAGTGTCTCACTATGTAGTGCCAGTGAGGCTGACCGCAAACTCATTATCCTCCTGCTCCAGCTACCCAAGTTCTAGGGCTATAGGGGTACACTTGGCATTTAAAAAATATTTTTGTATGTATGTATGTGTGTGTGTGTGTGTGTATATATATATATATATATATATATATATATATATATATATATATTTGAATGTATGCCGTGATTATTCAGGTGCCCACAGAGGCCAGAGAAGGCATGTAACTCCAGTTGGGAGCTACACAGTATAGGTACCGAAACCAAAGACGACCGAAATCAGGTCGTCTTTAAATAAAATAAAATTTTAAAAAAGCAGTAATCATTCCTGTGAGCCATTTCTTCAGCCCCTGTACTCTGGATTTCTGATGAGTGCAATTGAACAAGGGGTGGCATTTAAGTAAAGTTATAGCCAAGTGTGATGTACATCGGTAGCCCCAACTGCTTGAGAGACACCAAGGAGGTCACAGGTTTGAGGCCAGCCTGAGCAATGCAACCAAACCCTATATTTATTTATTTAGTGCATTTCCTAGCTCTTGGTCAGGCAGAACAAGGAATATTATTAGTAAGCATAGGAAAATCCCTCTTAACACTAATGACAGGGAAGTGAGACTGGCCAGAGTATGTCCAAGAGTAGAGGTCCAGTGATCTGGTCCCTTCTGCTGCCAGGGCAGAGACTCCAGGGTTAAGCAGTATAGAAATAACAAGGCTCACAGAATGGGACTCCAGGATGCTGCTGATTAACCCATTGAATAAGAGGAAATAATAAAACAACTGCTGGGTGGACTAGAGATTGAAACATAGAAACTATGAGCCTTGTATAGAAACTGTACAAGCACATATTAAAAAATACTGCAGAGCCAAACATAGTGGCACATGCCTTTAATCCTTAAGCACTAGAGGAGCAGAGGCAGCCAGATCTGTGAGTTTGAGGACACTCTGGTCTAATGTTAAGTTCTTAAAGTCCCATCAGCGCTATATAGTGAGACTCTGTCTCAAAAAAAGAAAATAGAAAATGAGTTGACAGAGTGTTCACCTACTAGTCCCTAGATTCAGTCCTTCGTTTTGTGAAGCGGGAAAAAATAGCTAGAAAAAATAAGGCCAGACGGTGGTGATACACACCTTAAATCCCAGTACTTGGGAGTCAGAGAAGCCCTGTCTCAAGGAACCAAATATAAAGTATAACCAAGAAAGCAAAAGATAATCTTTCAGTGAGATTGAAGAAAAAAAACAATGGAGCAAAGTTGGTGAACACAATCCTGGTTCATTCAGAAGCTCAATAAATGGGTTAACCCTTAGCCAGATTGACAACAGAGAAGAGGCAGTATCAGAGATAGATGCCAATACAGATTCTATAGACATTAAAGTTATAAGGACTAGGGTGTAGCTTAGTGGCAGGAGTGTTAGCATGGCATGCTCCAGGCCTGGCTTCAGTCCTCAGGAACTCAACACAGATTAAAAGGACAATAAGGGAATATCATGAAAAGCTTTGTGCCAGTAAGTACTATAGAACATATAAGAAACAGATCCATTCTAAGCTCCAACATTCCACAGTTCACACTAAGAAAAAAATAGGCTGGCAAGATGGCTCAGCTGGCAAACATTGTTGCGCCTCAGCCTGATGGGCCTGAGTTCAATCCCTGGAGTCCACATGGTGGAACTGACTCTTAGCAAGTGTTCTCTTAGTGCATACAGAAATAACTTAGAAAGAGCTTGGGTGGCCCTGTGTCTATTAAACAATTTGAATTTGCAGTTTCAAACTTTGTTAGACCAAGCGTGGTAGTATGTGCCTTTAATCCCAGCTCTGGGAAGGCAGAGGTAGGAAAAGCTCTGTGAATTTGAGGCCAGCCTGGTCCACATAGTTCCAGGACTATATAGAGAGAGCCTGTCTAAAGAAATAAATTCAAAATAAAAACTATTAGTGTTTGTTGCTGATACAGAATAACTGAGAAGATCAACTTTTCAAAGGTGTCTCGTTTTTGAGGGGTTTTTGTTTGTTTGGCTGGCTGGC